CCCCCAAAAAATCCACCCCCCCCTCACCATCTTTCTGGCTGGAAGAACTAAGAAAAGAGCCTGGGCCACCGCTGGAGAGAGGGAAGGGAAGGCCAGAGGGAGAAAGCTGAGAATTAAACCCCCTAGTTCTACGTATGGAAACTAACGGAGGCTCAGGTTGCCCCTCTAACCTTACATATGTGGGGCAGATTTAAGGCAATGGTACATATATTTCCATTTTTATAAAAGCCCGCCCTAGCGAGTCTGGCTCCGTGGTTAGAGCGTCAGCCTGTGGACTGAAGGGTCTCAGGTTCGATTCTGGTCAAGGGCACGTACCTCGGTTGCAGGCTTGGAGCCTGCGGGAAGCAACCAATCGATGTCTCTCTCTCACAACGATGTTTCTCTCTCTCTCTCTCTTCCACTCTCTCTGAAAAGCAATGGAAAAAAGATCCTCTGGTGAGGATTAAAAAAATATTTTTAAAAAGTTTGGAAAAAAACCCAAGAGACGTTGTGGCAGAGCCCCATGCTAGGAATTCTGGCGGGAAAATTACTCCTTGTGTTGTTTCACTACTTACCTAGAAGTATCAATAATCACAAAGGCCTTATAATCGTTTTCACTAGTTTGTTTGACGAGTATAGAACTTTAAAAGGAGTGAAGTATTTACTTCTAGCACAACAAAGGAAAACCCATCAACTGGGACGTGTGGTTGTAAAATAATCAACCACAAACCATAGGAAAGTGCATATACAGCTTGACTCCTTTCATCCCAAACCATGCTTGTCTAATTAAAGCCTTGTGCCCTCATTAAGGGTGTTGACAAATATCTCCTGATCCTGGCAAAGCATTTCTGAATCCTGGACTTTGATTGCCAATAACTGACACATGGAGACACTAGATGCTTAAGTAGTCCAAAAACAGTTAAGCAGGGCTAACAAATTCTCTCAACCTGGGGGAGGAACCGTTCTTGGGTGTGAAGTTGTGATTTAATTCATGCGTTTCTTAAGTATGGAATTCTAAGTATGAGCATTTGTGAAGCAAAGGAAACCTTTACTAATGAACCTTTCGGGACCAATTAGTACAGTTTGTTAAATTGGAATACTAATTAGGTAGGCAATAGTCTAAATCAACCTAAATGCTTGTTAGTTTGACCAATTACAGGTGCCCAATAAGTGTTTGTTTAAATTCAATAATTCTGTGTCTAGAGGGACTATGCCTGACACGAGTGGTTGGAATGAAAAATATAGGCTGTTAGTCATGAATAAATTGTGCATAAACTGGGGTATCTCAATATAGCTACTGGAAGGCAAGATCATGGCAGTGAGGGCTTATGCATATAATGCTGAGCATTTTTTCAGGTACCTGTTGGCTATTTGAATATCTTTTTTGGGAAAAAAAGCCTATTCTGAACCTCTGCTGATTTTAAAAATTGAGTTATTTGTTTTTTTGCTATTGAGTTGTAAAGAGTTTCTCCTATATTTTGGATATTGATCCCTTATCTGATATATGGCTTGCAAATATTTCCTTCCATTCCATAGGTTGCCTCATTTTGTTGATATTTTCTTTTGCTGTGTAAAGGACCCTCTTCTTTTAAAGACAACCACCAATAGCCTCATGTGTCACCCAAACTTATAGCCCATTAGCTAGAACCTAGTGAAGTGGCCTCTCCGACGTGCAAGGAAGGCTGAGACATACAGTCTTTACCCTGGGTGCCCTGCTAACTTCCAGATGTTCCATTGCTGAAGAGCAGACCCTGGAAAGCATTTGGAGGCCTCCTCACTTCAGGTGTGAGCCCTGGCCTTCCTTGTCCCATGACCCCCTCATAGAAACACTCCAGTGTCCAGCACCTTCTCCCATTCACCATCAGGGCCTAACTTACTCCCTTCAGATTGTCCCTGATCTCCTGAACTGTTAGCGCATTAATATCAGGACCTTGAACTTTTCCTTCAAGACACTCCTCACAATCATTAGTGTTCTGCCTGTTCCATAACACTCTATCTCCATTTCTAGCAGCCAGCACGCAGTAGGTGCTCAGGAAGTATCTGTCACATGGTAACTGCTCACTAAGGAGCTGTAAAGGCACTCTTTAAACTTCCTACAGTGGCTCTTCTGTCATTTTTAATAATAATTTCCTGTAAGTCTTTACTAATGGAGTGTTCAGATACTTCTAAAAATGCAGTAATTTTGTGACCACCACCCTTTTCCGGATTCTTGACTTTTTTTGTCCCCTTTGAAAATGGGCTGTAAGAAGCAGGTGGGAGAATGGCTTTAATTTTTCTTTCATTTATAATGTCACTCAACACGCATTTAGCAAGCGCCTTCTGTGTGCCAATCACTAAGGCTGGAGAATACAGTAAGTGAATAAAACAGGCACAGTATGTTTTTATGGATCTTGCCTACTCGTGTGTGTGCATAAGAAGATGAGGGGAAGTCAGAAAGTAACAAACCGAAGATTATTCAGAACATCGTAATAACAGCCACATGCAGGAAGGGGGGTGAGTGTGATTTTCTGCTTGGGGTGATCGCGAAGCTTCGCTAATAAGCCGACCTTCGCGCAGGGACTGGCACCAGCTGGGCGCCTGGGTCGGGTCACAGCGCAGCGTGCAAAGCCTGGAATTTCGTTTTCTAAATTCAAATCGCAGGTCACCAGTTGCAAGCCTGCGAGTCAAACTAGCCGCTCTGGGCTCTCCTCCTACTTGTAAAAGGACAACAGTGATACAGACCTCACAGGCTGGCGACGAGAAAATGCCCATCGAGGAAACGCACGCAGAGGAGCTCGAACACGAATCCTCTCCGCGAGCTGAGGACCTGGGAAACCCACGCTGGGAAAGCCTCCCCGCCTCCCCCCACCAGGACCACCCCCTGGCGGGAGTGCAGCTGGTGATTGGCTTCTCAACCCGTCCGTCCAGCCCCGCCCCGGGCGTCTGACCCAATAGCGGCCGGCCGTGCGCCGAGGCTGTTCCCAGGGCCCGCCGCGTGGGCGGTGCCCAGGACGTCGGCTGACGCGTTACGTCACGGGAGGCGGAAGTCACGGCCGCTGTTTTGAAATCGAGCCGCCGGAGCCTCACGAGCTGCTGCCCGCGCCGAGGCCCGCAACCCTCCGACGTCCCGAGGACCCCCGGACGCCTCGTCTGCGGCCCCGCGGGCCTGAGGCCGCAGGCGCGCCATGTCCACCCCTCCGCTGGCCGCGTCCGGGATGGCGCCTGGGCCCTTCGCGGGGCCCCAGGCTCAGCAGGCCGCCCGAGAGGTGAACACGGCCTCGCTCTGCCGCATCGGGCAGGAGACGGTGCAGGACATCGTGTACCGCACCATGGAGATCTTCCAGCTGCTGAGGAACATGCAGG